GTGTTATATGATTGCATTATATTTATTAAATAAATAATATATTATGTACTAGCAATATATTAATTAAAATATTAATATATATTATAGTCTAAATATTATATTTTCTTTATCTAATTTATACTTAATTTTAATAATGACTGGTATATGTAACTGTGATTAATCTAACTAATCACAAGATATTTCAATATTATTCTATCATGTTTGCAAAATTATCATTTTTCAAAGATTTCCTGTTATATTTGAGACTGTTAAAATTCCTCATAATAGTCTTTCATTATTAAAAAAAATTTTTTTATAATAGAATATATAAAAAAATTTTTTAAAACTATTATTACTAAAAAAAAATAGTAAATTTAACACTATAAAATTCTTCAACTCAAGTTGATCATATTATCAAACCTCTACTTGAAGTTACTAACTATAATTTACTGCAATTAAGACGTTAGGATCTGTCTAATTCTTAACTTTATTAAATTTATACGTTAAACTTAAACAAATCTATCAAGTATAAAGACTTAAAAGATGAAATTACAAACAATTTAATTAAAGAATTCAGATGACAAACTCAATTACAAATAATATATAGAGATCACATCAGACTATATAAAGATACGAAAAGATAGAAAAATATAAGTTTTGAATGATTCCTTTATTAATATTGAAACTTGTTTTTTAATCTGTAAAAGAGTTAATTCATAATATAAGTAAAAAGTCTATCTATTTATACAAAATTTCTTTTATCACAGCTAACTATTTACTATGCTATAAACTAACTAATTCAGTAAATAAAATATAAGTAAAATAAATATATTAAAAATAATAAATATTTGTATAATAATAAAAATATAAAATATAATAAAAATATTAATAAATATTAAAATATTAAAAATAAGTATGAAACTAAATATTTCTAGATTTCATTTAATTCATAAAATTAGGATTATCATCAATATTTGAAAGATCTGCAAAATATTGTAGATCTTCCATATTTTCAGAATTTGCAAAATTCTCAGTATTTTCAGAAATCTGAATGAAGAAATCATCATATTGTGTTATCTATGTAACTTTATTGTTATTGGTCAATTGCTCTATTGACAACATATAAAATAAAAGGATCTTTTAAAAAAAAAGAATATGATAAAAAGAGTAAATATATAAGAAAAAATTAAGCTAAAAAATTTATTTTATGAAAATTTGATCATTATATAAGCTATATTTACGCAATTATATGATACTAATAAAAATAACCAGTAGTATTATGTAGTAATTTTATTTATAAATATATTAATATACAGTCTTTTAACATTGAATCAAAATTATATTATATATGTATTATTATTATATTATTTATATATTTAGTAATAAATTATTAATATATTAAAAAAATAAAAAATAAATATCAATTTTTTTGCTTTTTTCATTTTGTTTACTAAATTAAATATTATTTGATAAAAAATTCAATCTATATCATTTTAATCAATACATTTAAATCTTTAGTATATGTTTTATAATAAGAATACTATTTTTTAGATATAATAATTATATATTTAAGTGATTTAAAACATATTAGTAGAAAATTAGCTAAATAATAAGACTTTTCTATTTTATCATAGTATTCTATAATAGTATTTACAAATATTTAAATAACACATTTTTTAATTCTTGATTCATATCATTTTATCAAATATTTGTAGATATATCCTCTATTAAAATAGGCTTTTCATTTATAATTTCTTCTTCTAATTCTATATTAGACAAAATATTATTATTATTTATTACTTCTATATTTTGTTTTTAAAATGATTCTTCTTTAAGATTATTTTTTGCTTTATTATTATAAGTAAAATATCATCAAAAATATAAGATATGATATCAAGATATGTTACAAAAATTTTCTTTTCTTTATTTAAGATTTTTTTAAAAGTATATTAATATCTTAACTTATTATAATCTGTAAATGTTACAGTAATACTTATATTTTTTTGCTTTCTATATATTTTTTATCTATAACTTATTCTTATTCTATCTTACATACTTTTTATTTTTAATATTAATTTTGTCTTACGTATTTTATGAATAAATAATATAATTCAATAATATTTATATTATAAACATTATAAAAATTTTATAATATTTATTATTTACTGATACTGCAAATAAGTGATATAATACAGTATATTGAATATGTGTTAAAAACTTTAAATTAGTAAATATATATTATAATTATTTTTACCACATTTTTTTATTAAAAAAATAAGAATAAGATCAGTAATAATAATTGAAAATTTCACTTATTAGCTATATTTTTAAATAGATTAAATAGATTAAATAATATTTATTTAAAATATTTATTAAATTTTAATAATTTAATACTTACTTTATTTTTATATTAATTCAACTTTTATCTTCTTTTATTAATATAAAATTAATTAAAAGAATTGAATCCTATTTCTTAAAGCATAGATATGAATTAGTTATAAAATATTGTAGAGAAATTATAATATTTTAATATTAAAGATAGTATTGCAACATTATAACATTTATTTATCACCTGTTGTAACTTAAATTTTAATAATGTTGTAATTCATTATAATATTATGATGTTTATTTATTATCTGTTGCAACTAATTAAGACGCTATCTTTATTTAATATCTAATAATTATAAAATAATGAAATAAAGTTTATTAGATTTATCATATTAAAATCTATCTAATAATAGTATTTTTAAATTTTTAAAATTAATAATTATTAATATATTAATTTTTTATTTTTTTTAAAATAACTTATTATCTAATAATTATAAGAAAATATATAACTCTTTCTAATAATCATTTGACTAAGAATTTTTATGTAAAAATATGTATATTTAAGGGTAATCACAGCTTAGTCAATGAACAAAAAACAAAACTCACTTTTTAAACTTTTTTCCTCTCTTTGTTCTTTATAAATCCTTTTATTCTAAAAAATAGTTTTTGTTAGTTTTTTATCACTTCTCATAGCTGTTTTTTCCATTTTTTCTCTTTTTTCTTTTTGCTTACAAAGTGAACATCAGAGGCATCTCAAATAATGATTAAGATTGATAATAACTTTAGATTAACCAATTGTACATAATGATTTTTCATTATCTTCCTAAATGAGTACACTCTTTTTTAAATCTCTAATGTTATAGAGCCTGCTGATCTTTCCAGTTTTTTGCAACTGTGTGATTTGAACTTTGTGTAATATCTGCTAGCAATTGTAATCTGAATTGACAGATATCTTAACATAAAAGTTTAAGAGTATTAAAAAGCCTTTGATAGAATTTAGTGATATGAGTGTTTCTATGCTAGAGGTTGTTATAATTAGAAATTAATCAGATAACTTAGCTAAGAACTTGTTGGAGTCAGATTTTTTATTAGCTTCTTTTTTGGTTTAATAATAATTCAAGTTATTAAAGAATTTTATTGCAGCTAAACACAAAAAACAATCAGAAAATAGCAATATTAATAATAATTAGAAGGACCATTAAAACAAGTTGCTAGTAATATAATTATTCCTTTGCAACAGCATTTGATTAAACAGACTACTGATTCTAATATCATTAAAATACATGAAGTATCTTTGAAAAAAAGATTGAAGAATGCTATAGAATTATCAAAAAGGAAAGTATTAGTACCAATGTAAAAAAATCTGAATGAATCTAATAATCAAAATATAAGAAGTCAACTCAAGTGTTTATTATATAAAAAACCTGGTCATTATCAGAAAAAAATGTCTAAATATTAAAAAAGAAATTAATATAGAGATATTATAATCTTTATTTAGTTGTGAACTATTGAAGCATTATACTGAAGCACATTTTTATTAACAATTACTTTAATTAATACGAAAATAGTATAATTTTATAATTGAAGACCATTCATTTAGCTAATTATATTAATGAATATAATTTATCAGGTGATAATTTATTAGATAATTTAATTTATTTTTGATTTTAAAATAATTATATAATATAATAATTTATTTTTTTTTATTTTATACTTTTATAGTTACTATTAATCAATTTATACAAGCAACTATTAAAAGTTTAAGAATTAGATTTCCAGACTCTGCTTTATATTATTCAATGAGAATTTTAGATTTAAGTGAAGCTTCTAATAACCGTGATGGATTAAATACTTATGGAGAAAATGAAATCAAAACTTTAATAGAATTTTATGGAAAAGCTATAAAAAATAAAAGCAATACTTTATATGAAGCTGTATTAGATGGAAATATTCTAATTAGAGAATGGAGAATGGCTCATAATATTATTTGTGATTATAAAGATTTTCAATTTATTGAAGCATAATATCGTATTTTTGTTAATAATAATAATTTTCATAATCAATTTCCTAATTTAACAAAACTTGTTAAATTAGCTTTAATAATTCCATTATCAAATGGTGTTGTTGAACATGTATTTTCACATCAAAATTTAATTAAGACCAATTTGCATAACAAAATATCAATTCAAACATTAAATTATCATTTACTTCTTTCTTTAAATGGTCCTAAAGATTTTAAAAATTATAATTATGAAAAAGCATATACTTTTTGGAATGGTGTTCCTAGATTTAATCAAAAATAGTTATAATTACTAGTTAATTTTTTTTTTTTGTAATCTTTTTTTTTGATTTTTATAAATAAATATTATAAATTGATATTAAATACATTCTTTTCAATTATTTAATAATGCACATATTATGCATATACTATTTTTAGAAAAAATTTGTGCACATTAAAATTACTTTGTGCACATATGATGTCATAAAAATGTGCATATTTTGCACATGATTTTTGGTTAGATTTTACACACTGCTTCAACGATGATCCTTTCTTCATATTAACATTGGTCGACACACATTTATTATATTCTTGAATATTATAATACACTAGCATTTTTTTTTTTTTTTAGAATCTGTTCAATAAACAATTTTGATTTCGATTCTTAATTTCTTTTCCAATAAATACTCTAAATTTATTTTTGTTTCTTATTTCTTAACGCGCCACCATTAAAGATCATTTCTACAGAACCTATTACTTTAGCCATTTCTAATTGTATAGAAATTTCATCTTTTACTTTTTGATGTAAAGTCTTGATAAGATTTGTTATGGTGTGAGATTGTCCAATCACTGGGGAATACAATTCTTAATTTATCGAATAGAATTTGTGAAAATAGTAAATTGTTAATAATAGATGTTTCAAAAAAAAGGAAACAGACACAATTGTATATGGAAAGATATATAAATATACCAAGTATGACTTGCGCAACATCGACCATAAGGTTCATATATTTTGGATCTGTTATCCATTTGTTCACAAATTTGATTAAAGGTGCTAAAGAAGTTTCATCACGTCCAGAAATGGCTATTGTTAAAGCATCGCGTAGTATAAGTTCTTGAATTAACGAAACCGTCAAAATGGGAAGTGTAGTCTATAGATTGCGTACATAACGTCATGTTTCTTAGCAAAAGGAAATAAACAAGTATTAAACGTAAAAATTATAAATATATAATTACATACGGGTCTTAACACAGCATCAAGTGCATTTGAATATTGAAAATTCCTCAAGTATTGATCATACATCGCCAGTTTCTCTTTACGTTTAGCTTCTATTACATGATCATCCTTTATAAAAATATTTTTTGACAAAATGTTGATAAATGATGATATCGCGAGAAAATTACGAATACAGTAATCTAAAAAATATCATACCTTACTGCCACTGTGATTGAAACCGCGAATAAAGTATTGGTAAGTGCCTGGTTTAGGTGGTTCTTTTACACGTTTTGAAGGCGTTTCAATTTTAAGGAATTGCACAGCTAAGGTGCCTGATGTCATCCCGACTGCGAAGTGAGTTTCATCAGGCTAGAATATGAAATATTCAATAAGTGACATTGAAAGGAATTCGTAAATATCAAAAAAAAGTAATGTATTACTTACTGAAATTGCGAGGCTTAAAATTGGATCGGAATATGTTAATCCATGCACAACTTCAAAATTTTTTGTATCATAAACTTTGACGTGACGGTCCAAAGATCCAGTAAGAAGTCGAGAATGCATTGAATTTAAGCACATGGAAGTAACCGTTTTTTGATGGTTCGACAAAGAATATATAACTCGACCTCCACCATTAATATCCCAAACTTTTATAGTCGGTCCACCTTAGGATAATAAGATGATAATCATAATTTTAACAACTAAGTTATTATTTTATTTTTAAGAAAAAAATTTATTAAAAAAAAACCTGCTGAAACTACTGTTCGATCATCAAGAAATAATAAGACTTCTTCTACAGGTGCTTCGTGCATCAAAGTCATGGTACAAGTATTTGTACGCAAATCCCAAAGTTTCACTGTTTGATCATAAGAGCCCGATAAAACTAAGCGAGGATCGCCATTATGTATTAAACCAGATCGAACATAATCCTTAAGTTTATTGATTCGATTAGCAAGTTAATTTCAACAATGTTTATTTAATGATTTATCTATTAATTGAAGGACTGACCTGATGTCCTTCGAGAACTGACACAGGCTCTTGACCAGGTATATCCCAAATTCGAACAGTTTTATCATCTGAACAAGAGAGAACTTGCGTATTTCCAGGAGCAAATTTCGTTACCTGCACGGGACTGAAGAATCATATTTGTAAATATAATTATAAATAATTCAGGTAAAATTGATATGCATGTATAATTATTACAGTTTATGTCCTTGCATCGTTCTTAATATTGCTCTGTTATGAATATTAAAAATCTACTTTAAAAACAAAATTTCCGTTAATATATGATCTTTTAACAAAGAAAGGATATCCCTAATATTAATACCTGAATCAACCCTGTAGCGTCTCCAGCGACAAGAAGGTTACCATCATTTCGGATATTTCCGCTGTACGCAATGTCATTAAACCTTGATATTGATTTTGTTACTTGATATTTATAATTTTTCGGAGAATAGATTTGAACACGTGTAGATGATGTTACTACGAAATCATGTGGTGCGATAGGAGAAAAATGTATTGAGGTTACGGAAGCAATTTCTTTAAAAGTTTTTCTCTAAAATATAATTATTGAATTTAAAATGATAAACAGAAATAAAGCAACCAAAAAAAAAAAAATAAAAGTTTCAATTTGTTATTTTGTTTACGGGGTTAAAAAAAATATGGTCTTATAAATCTCTTTCTTTCTTCTAATCGTATAATCTCCATACAACCAAATTTTAATTAAAAAGTCAAAATCAAAATCACACCTTAAATCTGCTCCAATATCTTGACTCTTCGGTACTATTGTCAACGTGTTTGGCAAATTTCCTTATTGATAATTTTTTATATGGAGTAGCCATTTTACTAAAATTTTAAAAAAATTTTTGAAAATAATTGATAATTAAACAAAGTTGATTGGTTGCATACATCAATTTTTTTTTTTTTTAATTAAAAAAAAATTCGATCTTTCAAAAAAAAAAAATACAATTTTCATTTATTGACAAGAAATGGGATGGAAACCTGGTTTAAAAAGAATTTATTTTCCCAACATAATTTTTCGTTTAATTCGCACACCTTCATTACCTCCAAATAAAGTAGCATTTCGAATCCCGACTAATGTCAATAAACTTGATATAAAAGATTATTTAACACATATTTATAAACTGGAGGTAGTTGATGTGCGAACGATGGTCTACGCTGCAGAATTACAAAAATATTCCAATAAATATCGGCCTAGCTATAAGAAAGCTATTGTTACGTTAAGTGAAGATTTTAATTATCCTCCAACACCTTCCGATTCAAAATATTCAATTGAACTTTTTCAAGAAAACAGAAAATCTCAACTTCGAAAGTTAGCTGGTTGGAAATCAAGGCCAATCAGAGTAATCATGAAACAACAAGAAAACCAAAATTTGAATGAAGATAAGGTTGTAGAAAAAGAAAATAAAGATGGGTGAAACTATATAACAAATAAATTTTAATAATGAAAATAAAAATACAAATGTTTGCGTGACAAAATTTTATAAATAAAAAAAAATATCATTTATAACTTGCTCTTTTTTGGTACGGGTTTATCGTAAACATTTGTAAACAAATAGTCTTTTGGGATGAAAACATGATCCGTTAGATTTTTGATATCTACCATCTCTGGTCGAATATCATCGAGAGTTTTTGCTCCCGTAAGCCGCATGGCCATTTCCAATTCATCTCGTAACAATTGCAACGCGCGTTCTACACCCGCTTGACCATAAGATGCCATTGCGTAAAGCAATGGTCTTCCAATTCCAACAGCTTTTGCTCCTAAAGCTATCGCTTTGAAAATATCGGTTCCGCGTCGTACACCACCATCCACATATACTTCTATTTTATGGTATAATCCTTCTTTCTTTAATGCTTCAACTATCTCTGGAAGAATTTCAATTCCGGAACGAGCAAAGTCAAGTTGACGACCTCCATGATTTGAAAGAACTATCCCGTCACAGCCATATTGGGCTGCAAGTATTGCATCCTCAGAAGTTTGAATACCCTTAAGTACAATAGGTAATTTTGTTATCGATCTAAACCATTCCAAATCTTTCCAATTTAAAGATGGATCAATAAACGAACTAATCGCTCTTGCAGCTCCTTGATCGCGTCTTAAATCTTTTTCATCCTGAACATCAGGTGGTGCATCCACGAATTTTACGCGCATATCTTTTTCGCGACGACCTAACTGTGGTGCATCTACGGTTATAAAAAGTGCTTTACAACCCTTCTGCTCGGCTGCCTGAACCACCTTTTGTGTGATACTTCTATTCCGGTTAACATATAATTGAAAGAATTGAATTTGTCCTTCACCTCTAGCATTTGTCATATCGTCTAAAGAACATGAAGCGAGGGTCGGTAACATTTGAATTATATTATGCGTGCGCGCGGCACGAGTGAGAACTACTTCACCCTCTGGATGACCTAATTTTCCCAATGCGGTAGCAGTTATATACAGAGGGAAAGATGTTTCGTAATTTAAAAGCCTTGTTTTCATGTCTACATGCGATACATTTCTCATGACTCTAGGACGTAGCCAAATGCGATGAAAAGCATTATGATTTTCCCTGAGAGTAATTTCATCATCAGCGCCTGAACTATAATAAGCCCAAGCTTCAGCTGTTAAAACTTGTGAAGCTACTGCCTCAAAATCGTACATATTGAACATTTCGTCTATAGCTGGCTTATTTTCTATTGCGTGACGACGTCTTTTTTCTTCTTCGGTTTCTACCTTGATAGTTTTGACTAATGTAGCTGGGTCAACTTCTCCTAAGCAAACTTCAGGAGGCAGATATTTTTGAATAATATCTAGTGGATGAATTGGATCGAATGCCGCTGTAGCATCTTTACCAGCTTGTTGAAGAATAACTTTGATTCCACCCGGATGTTCAGGAAGAAAATTTGATAAATCATAAACTTTGCCATGAATAATTACCCAACAATCTTCGCGTTTGTTATGTTTACTAACTTCTTGAGCTGAAATTAATCTCATTTTTAAATAAAACTACAAAGTGTAATGATGTATATTATACCAATTTATAACTAGCGGCACAAAAAAAAAAACTCACCTCACGCGATTTTAAATTGACAAATAGGATTCTATCATTTTACTTAATCCGGAGTGTAACGAAGGACTATATATAGGGATGGGAAATTAACGGTTAATTAAGATTTGGTTAATTAACCGGTTAATTAACCGTAATATAAATTTTAATATAAGATTTTATATAAAAAAAAAATTTTTTTAATTTTTTATTTATCGTT